AACACACTAATGCACCGAAACAACTATACACACATACACCAAGACACACACACTAATCTATACTACTACAAAATATTAACAAAAGTGAAAAAATTTTGTTAGATCATAATACCCCTATAAAAATGATTAAAGACAGTTATATCATTATGTATTTAATTACTCAATATCAATTAAATATCCAATAACCCTTCATATACTTTATACCCCTATAAAAATGATTAAAGATAACTATATTATTATGTATTTAATTATCCAATACCAAATAAATATCCAAATAACCCTTCATATACTTTCATTTCCACATAAATAATCTATATCTATATCTATACATGTATTTATACTTCAAAAAATAAATATTCAGTGCACATCCAATTTATAATATAGATAATATTAATATATTTCTTGATTTTAAATAACATTTTTCATATCATAATCACAGTAATTAATATTTAAAAGTTTTAGATTGTTCTCTTTTTGTGCAGGGAATACATTAGTTCGTCTTCCAAACAAGCTTCACATATCATCACAACAAGATTGCACCAACATCTTGATAGAACAAAAAGGGCTCTAGGAAAGTAAAGAAGCTTTTCCTTTTAGCAAGCATATTTTTCTAATTTCGAGAATTTGTTTGTTACTTTTACCAACTCTTTACTTTGTACAAAAAAATAGAAAAAAAATTGTACTCTCGAGTCATGTTATATTTTTATCATTAAGGATCAAAAACAATTAAAATGTTACTATTGATGTTGCCATAAAAATGATGGAAATAATACTACACTTGACCCTTTTATTATACCCTTTACCTTTTGTTTTAAGACCGAGAGGAAATATTTTTTTTTCTTATAATATAGTTTATTATTTTATCCAAAAAAGAGGTCATCTTTTAGAGAACTTAATATCAAAATCTTCAAAGTGGTAGAACATGTGACTTGCCCTTGACACTTTGGTGGAGTGAATCTCTAGGGAAAAATACATGGAGTAGGTGCCGTTTTGAATTTTGTAATAATTGGATGTTCTAAGAACTCACTTGTGATGAGAGAAATTTTAAGTGTTACTACAAAATCATGTATTACACTATGTTACTTTGTAAAATTTGCAATTTTTTTTCATTAATACGTGTGTGATCTCTTATGTTGATGGATACATTATTTGCTGATTCGGGATCCTCATACGATTTCTAATTTCACTTATAGGCCAAAAGTAGTACAATAATAAATCTTGAATTGAGTAAGGTTCTGATAGCAATTTACCTTGAATAACATTTCAACTAACACTAGCATATCTCCTGCTTTGTTTTGAGTTTAATGTTTAACGTGGTTTTAAAGTTCTCAATATTTTTTTTTTAATATTAGGGTACATGCCCCTTTTAAATTCTAGAAAACCACTTAATCCGTGGTTAGACTGGTTTTCTACGGTGATGTGGTCAAAGACCACTTGTTTTTTTAAAGATCTAAAACAATAAAAATTTTATAATTTACATAACAAAAATATTTTATCCTATATGATATTCAAAATAGTTTACGTGCAACACACGTGTGCTTTCACTAGTACAAGCAAATAAGGATGATATCATCTTAAGAGTTCTTATAAGGTAAATAAAATGATGGTAGAAACTTTAAAGTATTGTTGAAATATTGATCATGAAGTTTGAGTTTTTCACATATTTACTTTTATGCTAAATTTAGTTTTGGAGGCATTTAAGCTTGAGAAAGGTAGCTAGGTAAGTTTTTAAATATTTTAAGGGCAAACAAGCCTACCATCGAATCCGAAAGGTCGAAAAATCTTGAGAGAGGTTAAATGGGGTGTATTAGAAGGTTGGAAGTACTTCGGAGTTAAAACGCAATTTGGAGGGAATTAAAATAAGAAGGTATTTGACACTACCTCAGTATTTTGGCCATCACTTTTTACCCCAATGCTCGATTGAACTGATTCTTACGGCATTGAAGAGTATACTTTAACAACTATAAATGTGTATTTCATGAAAAGTTCCTGAATTGACTTCTAACTATGTCAAAATTGGCTTGGCAAATTAGGGCAGGTTATAGAATCTTGTAGTCTGTTCGAACAGGAAAGGCTCCATTCGAACGCACATTTGATCTAAAAAACCTGAATAGAAAATAAGAGATATTGGGAGTATAACCCGTTTGAACACCAAAGACTCCGTTCCAATGCATGACAAACCGTTCAAATGCCAATGCTTCCATTCCAATGCATGTGCACGATTCTGCACAATCAAATCTATCCTACCTGAATTGTTGTTCATCCTATAAATACCCTAGGGATGTGTTTTAGGGTTGTTTAAATAAATTTTCAACCCTTAGAAGCCAAGAGGAGTTGGGAGAGAAGAAAATGGGTGAGATCTTGAAGGATTAACATGTAGAAACATCCAAACAACGGATTCAAGTAGGGTTTCTTTCTCAAATTTATTCATTGAGGATTAGATCGTTTGTCTCCTATTCTAAATAATATGATGGATCTACAATGTTTTCACATTCTTTTTTATTACATGATTCGTTTCTCAAAAAAATTACATGATTTACATCCAAATGTTTTTGATAAAAAACCCTAGATCTTAATTATGGTCAATTTGGACTAAAAGGTGTTGCTCAAAGAGGACTTCGATTGTGACTTAAACTATGTTTTCAAAACACATAAATGGTTTAGAAAAACTTTTCTTTTAAAATCACTTAGGAATCATAATAGGATTGCTAATTGACCTAAGTTAAAATAACTAAGGGTTCATCTTAGGTGTTTAAGTCATTACCTTTGTCCTAAATATGAAGGTGCATGTGGAGGTTGAATGATGTAGCTTTGACGCTTGATCTCCTAACTTCAATGATGCTTTCAGATCTTGAACTTGATTATATAATAACTATGGAATAGGTTGAGTTTTTACAAAGGACTCCATGAAATTAGTCAATTACAAATATGATCTAACAAATATTCTTACTCAGGTTTTGAATGTAACTCTGATAATTTCTTTATATTTGTTTTGGAAATTAGATTCCTCTCATATTGGATGTTGTCAAAGAACTGTTTGTAATTCATAGTTGATTTTTGTTTTTCTCTTTTGGCAATTTCCTAGTATACTCATGCAAAAAATTTTTGTCTTTTTTTTTATTGATATTAGTACAACAGGTAGATAATAGATTCAAACAGGTGCCCTTCCACTCCCTCGAGGTGGGGTTAACCATCTCGATTAAACTCGTCAGTCTGCCCAGATTCGACAAACCAAAATATATAAACATGCTTTCATAATAGATTACCAACAATAGGATAAACAATATAGCATTAATCAAGATGGTCATTTCCATCACTAGTAAAATAATCAGTACTACTACTCGGATCAACAAGATATTCTAAAATATCAAAATGAGTTATATCCACTGGTTTCTTTTGATAATCAGTAAAATTTGTTTCTATCATCTTAGAATTCTCATTTACCTATGATTGGTAAAGATCCACTAGATGTCTGGTCATACAGTAGGTACATAACCAATGTCCTTTCATCACACATCTACAACAAACTTTTTCGTAGACTTTGGGAGGTTTATTCTATAAAATCTTCCCACTGTACAACTTTGTTTCTTTCTTTGACCACTTTTAGTGTTAAGGTGGGTTGGTATGACTATCAAGATGCCAAGTATGTTGCCTGTAACTATGGCCACGGCCCCAACCCCAACCCTGATCACGGCCATGATGCGATGTGACATTCACTTCAGGGAATGTTTTTGATCCAGTCGGGCGAGCATTGCGATTTTTCATCAAAAACTCATTATTTTTTTTCAACAACAAGAATACATGCTATCATATCAAAATATTTCTCAAACCTATGATTTTTATATTACTGCTGCTGGAACAAATTAGAGGCGTGGAGTCAATGTCAGTTGTGAACTAATTTTGAATTCTATTCTCTTACACTTTTAAAATCCAAAAACCTTAGGTTTGCTCATTCATTGCGAGCATATGGAAAAATAATAGCCTTTTGATGGTCATACATTTACTTCAAAATTATTTCTAAAAAAGAGTTTTTTCTTTAGATGATTATAGACTTATGTTGCTAACATGTTGTGAAATCGATATACTATAAATAAAATATAAAGAGAGCAATACACAAAATATATTTAAAATAAATCCTTTGATAACTTAACACATTAATGAGTTAATCTTCAAGATCGCAATTTTTTTTCTTTATCTTTTATTCACTATCTTCCGTTCACTCAATATGTACTACTTATACATTCTCCCGATGCCTTTTATAGGCAAAGGGATTCGATAGCCTTTATGAGGCGGGCGTAAAAATGGTTAAAAAATAATAAGGTTAGTTGAGTGGTTGGGTCAAGATTATCCACCGATTTACAATATATGAGCAATAAAGAAGGTTTGTAAGTCACCCGTTTGATCAAAAGCACAATTTAAACACTGTAGGTTCAATGGCCAAACAAATTGCGAGCCATAGATTTATAATTTCCAAGTTTGGACCCCCTTGATTGTATAAAACCCAACTTTAACGGATTTATGTAATTTACATGTAATTGTATGTTTTTTAATCACCACGACACATTTCACATTGATAAAAGTTGGACCAAATTTCTTGGAAAGAATGAAGAGACCTCAACATTGGGTTTGCAAAGCAACATGCTATCACACCATCTTAACAGACAGACCATATTACCCAAAACAAATGAAAAAAAAAAAAAATAGAAAAAAGGACACAGATGCATCTTAATTTGGGCAACTAAACAAAACATTTGAGTGTAAAATTTCAGTTCAGTACTGATTGGATCATTGGAAACTTTCCTCCCTTTTAGGCAATAAAGAAGGTTTATACCTAGTGTAATGGGTCAGATTTGATTCTCCAGATACTGAAATCTGTATATTTTTGGTGGTTCCAGATGTTCTCTGTAAAGGAAATTTTGGAGAGATCATTCATAGCTGCAAGGAGTATATACACAAATATCATTTAGCTTTATATAGGGAAAATGTTTCTTAAAGTCACCCTTTCTCTACATGGCTTCAGCCACACCCTGCAAGGAAGATAGAAAATAGATGCATTTTCAGAAATTCAAAATTCACAATGATGTATCTATCCTTTTGACTTCAGGTTCAATATCCACAAGGAGAGCATATTACAAACAACAGGTATATGACATAATACATCAAGACATCTTTGTAACTTACACAACATATTACTCACAAATTTCAATTAAGCATATCAAGAATTGGATTCCACATCATCTTCCATCTCATACACAGCTTGAAGGGGACCACTCCCAGGTATAAACCCACTGTCTAGGAGATTATTCACAGGACCATTTCCGAACAGGCATACCTGTGGTTCAATCTTGTTCAGTCGGTTCCATTCATCACTCGCCAAAGACCAACTAAAAATGTCTATGTTTTTCCTTATCCGATCAGGCTTCACGCTACATGGTAGGACACTAGTTCCCCTTTGCAGACCCCACCGCAAAATAACCTACAGATTCCATCAAAGCAACAAATCATAACTCAGAAAAGCAATGAGCATCCCTAAATTGTACTCTTTTACAAAAAAACTACAGAGATATTTAAAAGGCGCACATCCGCTGTCAGAACTCAGAAGTTATGAGGATCCCCTAAATTGCAATCTTTTACAGAAAACTGAGAAACATATTTATTAAGGCACATATTAGCCCTGCTCTCAATGGAAGCCTTATCTGAACAGAATAGAGCAATTCTGTCATTTCGGTTAGAACCTAGTGGTAGTTGTTTTAATTTTCCTTATTTCTCATTTTTCTTTTCTTTTTGACCAAAACTTGGGGATCGTTTGATGGCCATTTCCCAAAAAAGGTCATTAAAAGAAGAATGACTACTCCTTAAAAGGATATGGTAAAGAAGATCTGAGTTTGCCACCATATCAACGTCAGAATCTCAGAAAAATCAAGTTCATGAAATAAAATTATATTGAAAAGCTCAAAAGGCTAAATGAGAGAGACATGGTTGTGATAAGTGAGTGGTTATCATGGCCGGACAGTTCATCAGGAATTTGTTGTGCTAGGTAATGTGCTTTAAATTTTGGGCCAATTTAGTGTCCATATCTTTTTTCCCACTTTGCTTCCTTATTGGCAGTGCCTTTGGGAATTCTTTTCCTCGAATTAAACTTGCTCCCTTACATCTATTCAAAAATCCCTATGATGCATTATGTCAACTCATAATACTCACATGACGAAATTACACAAAGCAAATCCAGTGGTTCATTAGAATTAAGCTTAAATAAACTATATATTGTACAAAGTACTAGCGAGTGAGACAGACAGAAATAAACAACAATAAGTCAATTAACTACACAATATCATTAACATTTTTAGACATACTAGAACCATCAACATAAAAATTCCTGCAGAAGAATAGATGATGTTATCCTCCTGCAGAAAGAGATACGCCACTATGCAACTCTGCTGATGCCATGTAAAACCTGAGGATTTGGTGGTTTAAACATTAAATAACAAAAAAAATAATTTTGAAATTCAAGTCAGGACCTGGAAAACTTTCAAGGGTCCCCTAGAAATGAAAAATGCCCATTTGCATTACTCTGTAATTCTCCATACGAATCAATAATTATAATCAGTCATCATAACAAATGACGATCAAATTTTGATATAAGCTTTCATATCATGAAAATTCAAAACTGATGGTATGGGAAGATTTTTAAAACAGCAGTTAAGACCACCACTCTTTATGACACAGTGTTAGGCAGCTATATTTGTGTAATATGCAACTTACTGAAAGCAGGATCTTAAGAAAGATGAGTAGCTATATAAGAATGAAAAATAATAGAAGAAAAACAAGCATCCACTGACAACTGGAAGTGGAATCAACAAAAGATAAGATGAGAAAGTTGTCTAAGTTTTCTTGTGCAATGAACCAACTAATGCAGTGGGATAGAAAGGTGATGCAATGCAAGTATTAAAAGGACAAGATAGCTAGCAGATATGTAGGTTCGGGCTATAAGCAAAGGGCCATGGGTTTAACCAAGACTGTAAGTGTATGGCGAGCTAGGTGCACACCCAACTGGATCTGATGGCCAAAGAAATCCCATAACCCCAGGATTTTAAAAACCGGTAAAAATTTATTTTTTGTTTTTTCATTGTACAAAAGAGTAAACTAAAATCTAACATGGGGAACTTCAGAGGGGCATAGCCACAACACACACTGTGTACGATTAAAGCTAAATATACAAAAAAATGACCCAGGGTCTGCATATTGGCTACTAAATCCAAAAGTGCTTCCAAAAGGGGAGTAACATTTCTTGTTTAACTAGGAAACAAACAAACCAACAAGGGGCTCTTCAAGTTTTGAATTGGCTCCTCCACCCCTCAAAATGACTCCTCTTTTCCCTCAAATTGCATCATTTTAGCCAATACACGGCACTGTTACAAAATTCCATTTTATTTCTGTAACTGCAACAGAACTTAAAAAGATGCAGGCCACGTCAAGCAAATTTCATAATTGTTCCCTTTACAAAACTACCAATACCCAATGGCTTCCAGCCAAGAAAAAAGTGCCGGCTTGAACGGTTCTTCTAATGCCAAATACTTTTGCAAAGAACGTAAGCCGTAACCATCAGAATAAACACCTTATGATAAGATTTCACCTCAAGTTCCTGTTCTTGAAACCCCACTACTACAAATAGGGATGTGGATGCCCATTATTATGAGTGAAATTTGGCCAAAAGTCTAACCAGATGCTCTTTTAAGCCATTAAGCCTAAACAAGGCATTTTTAAGGCATTAAGCACAGGTCAGCAACTCTTTTTTGTTTTTCAGTCTAAACTAATTGAATACTATTGCTTAATTAACTGAATGCCCTTAAGTATATCACATTGGTTTCTTTCTTTTTTTAAATATGTTTTCTATATTTTCCCCACTCTCTCTTCTAGTCCATCTTTCTCTCTTTTCTCCCCTGACACACTCTCTGTCTCTCTTCTCCATCTTTCTCCCTTCTCCCCCACTCTGGTTCTCGCTGCGGATCAAAACCATGCTCTTTGTCAATATTGTCCATTGAAATGAAAATCTCCATCACCATTGGGTCAGAAATATGTGAGCAAAAGTCCAAAAGACACATTCCAAATAGGAGTAAGAATCGAAATAGAAGCAAAAAAGCAAAAGTCAGTCAATGTACAATTTGCTTCTTGTAAAATTCTATGATGAATTCACTGTCCAGTTTGCTTAATGTTATACCCATCTTGCTATGGTTGACAAATTCATGAGGATGAACTCCATGACAGACTTGTTGCAATAAATGTCGTTCCCACACTGATAGTCCTCTGTCTATCTCTCTATGTACAATGTAATCTTCTGCCATGAGTTTTATTATCATCAAAGAATAAGAAAGTAAGGAAAATACTAGTGTCACTACAAGACAACTTTGATTTTGTGTTTGAGTCAAGTTCTATTTATTATTATTTTTTGTCACGATAAAATTGTTGTATTATTGCATGGGGACGTATTGCATCGTCAAGTGGTTTCTTCTCTCACATTTTTTAGTGTTGGATAACTTCTCTACATGAATTAGGCCTAATTCATTGTATAGATGGTGCAGTTTAACAGTATAGTCAAAATGGATAAATTTCACCACCGTGACAGTGAAATATGTCTATTTAGAATGAAATAGGTCTAATTTAGTGTTCCAACATTGAAGTATGCCCAACTTTACAGTCACAGTGAAATTGCACAGTAAATTTTGACACTCAGACCAATTTTAATGTCAATGTTACTGTCCAATTGCAACAAAATTCATACTTCACTATCACAGTTGGACCAGCAAGATATGCCCAATTTCAATGTCACTAAATTTGGTCAGTGAATTTTTGCACTCGTCACAGTTTGGACAATTAAATTAGACAGATTTTTTGACACTCATAGGCCACTTTAACTATCCAATTGCAATAAATTCACTCTGTCACGATTCAGACAGTGAACTATGCCCAATTTCACTATTTTGGGCACTGTCCAATTTTGGCCAATGATACTGAATCTCAATCTAATCAACTCCATTCATTAAGTACAATTTATTTTCAATTCCAACTAAAATCCCCCAATTTTATTTCCAAATTAAGACGAAATCTCGTTAATCCCATTAATTATATCAATTATGTCTTGCTAAAAAAAGACAATAAGGTTTGAGGAAGATAAAAATACGTTTTATATATTGTAGAGGGATAGATAAGAGAGAAAAAAAAGAGGAATTTAAGTAAGAAAGAGAAGAGAAAGATAGTGGGCCGAAAAATAGAGAGAAAGACAAATATAAAGAAGAGAGAAAAGATAAACATACATTAGATATATAAGATGGATGGATAGAGAAGAGAGAGTAATTTAAGGAGGAGAGGAGATAGAAAGTGGGACGAAACTGAACACAGAGCAATTTAAGGAAAAGAGATGAGAGTGGGACGAAAGAGAGAAGAGAGAGAGAGTGAGACAAAAGAGATAGGAGAGAGAGAAATTTGAGGAAGAGAGAGGAGAGAGAAAAAGTCTTTTAAATAAGAAAGTAAATCTCTTAAAAGAATGTGACTATAATTGTCCGTATAATCTTGTCTTTGTGACTATAATTGTCCTTTTGGACCCAAAAGTTCCTAACTTGGACTTTATGACTCAAAAGATGTAGCTATGGACTTGTAGTCCCTTTTCCCTCATTATTAACTGAATCTCCTAATCTTTACATAGTTTGCAACACTTTGCTTCCTTATTGGCAGCACTTGTAAATGGGCTTTTGAATCACAAAAGCCTGTTTAGAAAAGTCAGATTTGTTTGGGGAGAGACTAGAAATGGACTTCGAGTGGAAGCCCATCTCCTAAATGCCCATTTGACAGAAGCTAAGATTCGGAGCTCCTCAAAACTACCTAAAAATGACTTCTCACAAAGTCGATAATGATTTAAGTGAGAAACAACAGGAGTTCCCAATATTAAACCCTGCTTCCTCTAACTCAATACCCATTTTATCCCCAATTCAAAATAAATATTGCATCTCCATTGTAGTGTGGCGGTGAATCCACCAGCAGAGCCATTGGCAGAGCTTCTAAATGTGATGCCTGCACTGCAATCAATTACGTCTTCTTTATACCAATACATTTCACCATCTGGTAATGAAGTGAAGAAATGAAACTCCCAATGTCTTCAAAAGTAGTGCAGAAATGCAAGTCCCAAAGGCTGAGGAATTGTCCAATCAATCCAGCGGGATGGTTCATTCATTAGCACCATGGGATTTACTTTTACTCCGGATAGTGAATTCATTGAAATTAATTCATACTTGAAATAATATTTATTATACTATTCTTTGGTTAGAATCCCATGCAATATTTCATTTCTTGGTATCTAATAGTTCACATAAAAAACATTTAATTTGGATTTTGAGAATTGTTTATGAAAACTTAAAATAAATTCTTTAATTACTTAACAAATGTTGTACTCATTTATGTTGAATATCTGCTAGGTTTAATATTAACCAGTAGTACGATAAGGTCAAGGGCAATATTGATATGAATATGCTATTTTACACTTTTAGAAGTATGCCACCAAGCATGCTTAAGTACTTCTAAACTCAAATGTGCTTTTAAAATGCATGTTTGCCAAACACTTTTTTTATTTGATGAAAATCCATAATGAAAAGTGCATCTTCATAAGATAGACTTTTACTTTCAGAAGTCATGCCAAACGCAACCTATATTCCTAGGTCTGGATGACATAAAGCAGACCAGAGAACACAGATCAAAGTCGTTCGCTTACAAGTAGCAGATGTTAAGGTTTGTTGACTTGAGTTGCATCAACTTTTGAATTTCACCACATTCGAGTTATTGGATTACAAATTTCCACTCAGAAGTTCCAGAACCCTAGACAATGGAATTTAGGAGAGCAAGAACATGACGTGAAAAGTTAGTTGTGGATTCTAGCACTGTACTCTTTGTATACAAGTTAAATTATAGATGACCCTATGATTTTATCTCACTCTTTGGGAAACACAGCTTTCTATAGAACCAGATCTGACCATATATTTTCTTGTTTTTCTCTTAGGATTTGGTATATGTAATATAGGCACATCACAATATTGAATATAGTATCTCATACCAAAGCAGGGTATTTAACTGGCCCCTCATTCGAAGCCAACATTAATGACAACATAAGGAAACTTTACACTGATAGGGTCATTTGCATGAGTTCAGCTTGCAACCATCAAGATGGTTCTTATTGCAGAACTTCTCTTTAGCGGGTCTTCGAATATCTTAAACTCAAAATTGTGCCGCTTCATGGACTTCAAAGTTCTCTTGATAAACATGACTATACTTATTGCCTAGACAAGACCATATATGGGCCTAGACAAGCTCTCCAAGCCAAGAGTACAAGCTATTTTTTTTATTTTCTCCACCCCCATAGTATTAATAAATGAGACTGACACCTCCAGGCTTGTACAACACTGGTTATGCCTCGTACCTATGACTCAGCTGCACTTGTATGCAGAAGCATTATCTTAAGTGTTTCACTTAATCCAGAAGTTCATCTTGCCCGTACCATATGAAAGACCTGAATCCTCTTCACTACTTTTAATTAATGTATTCGGGTCCAAACTCTACATGGGAATCTCCTTGTTGATATTTGAACTATGCAATCAAATTTTGCTCCCTAATTTCTATAAGAATAACTTGGCCAAACATTGCCCTATGCATAGTCAGTATTGAAAATTCATGCACCCTTCCGCAACCAATCTGGTAGTTTGTGCATGCAAACCGTAATATGTCCAAGACACAGGCCTTATTCGAGTCAATGCCTTCATGATCCTACAATTGTCACTGCCTGTTAGAGATTGACTAGGCTCAAGAAACCAGAAACAACCTATGTCTTTGGTCTTATGCTTCTTACATACAAATTATAGTCCCACAATGTTCAGAAAAACAATCAACAGTTATTCTATTGTTGGAACTTGACAGCAATCTCTAATAATCACAACCACATAGCTTTTCTTTTACAAAGGTCATGGTTTTTGCTTATTCTGAAATTGGGCCCAAGAGTTCAACACCTCTGTTGTTGTAGTGGAACTGTAAATACGAGTTCAGGTGAATGCTGTAGTTCATAAATTGATGAAGAATATGAAAAAAAAAATAAAATACAGAACATAAGGACTTAGCATTGTTTGCCAAAAATAAGGGCATGCAAAATAGGAAAGCATAAGCATCTCAATTTGATTGATTACTGAAGGTCTCATCGACATATACTTTTCCCATAAACCCCCTTAGGGGTATCCAAACCACGGTTCAAAGAATTGGCTAGATGAATTCAACCCTGCATATTTTGTTGTGATACTGTTCCATATTCCATGTAAACTACAAGTCAAAAACGCCTCAGCTAAGCTGTCGAAGATGTCTCCAAGTCCATACTAGTCACCCAAGTCATTGCCGTCAAATCAATTGATCCTTTCGGCGATGCCACAATGGCTTAAATCTCTTGCCATTTTCAACTCCTTTTTCAAGCTAGACTATCGTGCATATTACCTAATACTGTTCCACGATATCGTGGCCGATGCGTCTCAATTCCCTCCAAGTCGATGGCTGGTACCAAGATCTTGAACCCTACTCTGATCCACACAATAAAAGAAGTGGAAGATCTAAAGACCAAGAATACCCTTAACTGGATATGATGATTGGTACCTTAGAGAAACCCCAACATAAGTTGCATAAATTTCTCCATCAATATCCTTCTCGTATCCATGGTTCAAGATCACAGTATCGGCCATTAACTCAAAACACTGAGACACATCGCGGTCATAAGTTATGGAACGGTATCAGGCGATACATAAAAACTGTTACATAGAATAAGATGAATGCGACTAGAGATTTAGATTGTATCGTAGCATCGCAGAACAACACTAGCCAATTCAGTGATGATGACTCTTAGGGTTGACTTGAAGAAATCTTAGATGATTCAACCGTGTTGTGTGAGACTTATAATTTACATAGAATGTGAAACAATATTGAATCGGATCTATGTTGGGTACGAATCGACCGAATTGTTTCAATATCAATGGATACTTTGAACCATGTTCCCTGAATGACCTCCCATGCAAGTTGACAAGTAAAGGACTAGGGAGGATGGGAACACCCCAGTCCAACCACATCCTTGTTAGGCATATCTAGATTACCGAAAGAAATCCCTTTCTATAGAGCTCCCAACTAAATCATTGTTGGGTAGCAAGAAATTATTTCTCCATGGGAAAACCAAGGTAAAAACACTAAAAGTGATAAACTCTCGTATTTGAGATTAGGTCTTAACAATGTAAACCTTTTGCCTCTCATTTATACCCTTCTAATTTGGTAATAT